GAACGCCACAGCAGCAGAGGATGGGCGGGCGCGAGGCTCTGCTGGTCTCTGTTGCGCAGCCAAACGCGCTACGACGCGCCCATCATCAGGCGGGCGGTACGTGGTACGTGGTGGGTCTGGTGCGCCTACGCTCGGTCCACCCTCACGCGCGAATGTGAGTGCGGCTTGAAGGCGGCAGCATGGCGGCGACGCGTGACTGCTGACTGCTGATGGACGCGAGGGCGCGATGGAGGATTCAGGATTGATGCAGGTGGCATGCATGAGGGGAGACATTCATTCATTTGATCACTTGACTCCAGAATGCCTCGACATTCACCAATCCACCAGGTGTCGCTTTGACACTCCCCAACCTCATTCATTCTGACATCATACAGCAGCATAGCAAGCGCCTACGGGGGGCGAGGTATGCGAGACACCAACTCCCTGCTGATCACCATTATACACTCTCTCGCACACACGAAATCTGGACTGTGGACTCGAGCATGGTACGAATGAGCTCTTGCTGCTTGCAATTTGCCTTGCCTTGACATCCACAGCCTCGCTTCGGACACGGAACAGCAGGGCCATCTCGAGCGTATCGCCAGACACGAAGTCCATTGGCAATAGGTCTACGAGGAGCCTGCTTGAATTCTGGCGTCATCGCCCCTCGTCATGTCTGGACTTGCTGCTGTGTCAAGTGGGTCAGCCGCGCAAATCCACGAGGAGCTCATCCCAGCAGGCGAAGAAGACTTCCTCACGCTTCAGAACCCGTTGAGCGAACTCTGCCCATCATTGCTGTTCGTCCAGTCTTTGGCAAGTCAGCCCGTCGCCCAATTTGCTGGCGGCACGCCAGAAAAGTCCGCACGATTGACCAGAGCTCTTCTCCGAGCCTGCACGTTCGGCGACTCGGATCTCGTCACTTGGATTCTGCAGGTCAGATCGCAGGCGGTAGATTCTCGGCTTTCAAAAGATGCGCAGCCAGAGGCTATAGCGCTAGCAGAGATCGACCTCAGAAACGCGAGGGACGAGAATGGCAGCGGTGCAATGGTTCTGGCAGCGTCTGGAGGACATGTTGACATTGTGCACATGCTGGTCCAAGCAGGCGCTGAGCTCGATGAGAGGGATTCCTGTAAGTCGAGCAGTGCAAGCAGAGGATCACCGGATCCACGATGCGGCTCTGACACCCGTCGCTTGCCTCGTGCAGATGGCTGGACACCCCTCATGTGGGCTATAAACAGCAGCAACGCACCTTTGGTGGCATTTCTGCTCTCGCATGGGGCCGACGTGAGAGCCAGAAGCTCGCGCGGCACCTCTTGCGAGGACTTTGTCCTATCCACAATCGCCAGAGAGGAGAGCAGCCAGCATGCGGACGCTGGGCCGAGTCGATTGGCCATGCCGCTCGACGCTGAAGAGAAGCAGCAAGCTGCAGATCGTGAGCTTATTGTCGATCTGGTCTACGAACACCTTCAGAACATCCTTCGAGACCCCAACGCGCTCCTACGACAGCCTCACGATGCAGCATCGCCGCTATCGAGAGGAGCGGGATCAGCTCCCGGCTCTCCTCAAGCATCTCACCCTCAAGCATCGCCATCGCCTGCACTACAGGGGCTAAGATCGCCGCTTGCAGCTCTTTCCTCACATTACAGAGAGGGTAGCCTAGGAAGTACGGGCCTTAGGAGGCTGATCGGCCGTGACGAGCGAGTCCAGCTGGCGGCAGCAGACCTGAAGGCCCGCGAAGTGGCAGAGGCTCGCCGGCGAGCCCTTATGGATGCCGCTGTGTTGCTGGAACTGGACTATTCAAACGTGATCGGAGGACCGCCGCCAGAGTCTGAAGTAAGCTCTCCGGAACGGCGGACTGCCAAGAGGAAGCCCAAGAGTCTGAGCAGTCGGAAGCGCACCCTCAATCATCTTCATCGCTTCGGACTAGCTTCAGGATGTGGGGCTCTCGAAGTGGGGGCCGATCCGCTCAGTGCTGAATTTCGATGGGACGAAGTACTGCACTCACAGATGCTGGTCGTATCTCTCGAAGAGCTGCCCTTGATGCTGGACCAATTTATCTCGAGCGCTAAGCCAATGCGCGCGCCATGGACAGCCCGTGCAGCACCTGCCAACTTCATCTTCCTGTGCGCACGCTTCGCTGCGCAGTACGACTCGGACATCCTACTGGAAGAGGTGATTCTTGGGTCCATACAGAGGATTGAAGACATCATCTACGCCAGGTCAGAAGATTTGAGCATCATTGCCTTTTGGCTTTTCAATTGCTGCTTACTGCTTCACTACACCCAGCGCGATTTGGCTCTGTCTCAAAAGCCGCAGATGGCAGAGCACCGGGAACTCTTGGCCGACGTCATCACGGAAATTTACGCCTTTGTCATTCGGGACGTCGAAAGGCGAATCGACAAGGTCATGGATGCAGCCATTCTCGATCACGATGCCATACCGGGTCACGAAGAAGTCCGCTTTGAGAGCGAGTGGAAATTCATGCAAAAGCTGACCGATAATCTTACTGGTAGTGTCAAAGGCTTGGGCGCAAGTCCCAATTCCGCCTCGGCCCGTCGTGTGCCCTCCGCATCAAACAGCTCGCCAACGCCTAGACGACCGTTGAGCCAAATCTTCGGCAGACGCGAGCCCGCCACACCTGAAGCTGACTCCAGCAAAGTTGCCACACCTGCGAGCGCTCTGTCAGGCTCACCTCAGACCAGCACGAAAGACGCATGGCGACAACCTCATCCATCGCCTGCACGATCGGTCGGGCTCGAAGCGCATTCCAGCTCCACACAGAGAACGCGTCCAAGCTCTCTATCGGCACAGACTTACAAGGAAGACTCGCGCGACATGTCAGCTGAAAGTTTACTCGCAAAGCCCTCTCCACGGACAATCACAGCTCTGCTGACGGCGACATTGCACGTTCTTCAGCTCTACGAGATCAATCCGATCATCATCGTTCAAGCGCTGTCCCAGGTATTCTTTTGGGTCGGCTGCGAGCTCTTCAACCGGGTTCTGACAAGGCGCAAGTATTTGTGTCAGTCTCGAGCCATGCAAATTCGACTCAACGTTTCTGCACTCGAAGATTGGGCGCGATCCAACGCGCTGCCTCTGTCCATCATCAACGTGCATTTTGAGCCCCTTCGTCAGCTCATCTCGTGGCTGCAATCTCAGTCTACACTGCAAGAATTTGTCGACCTGCTCTCAACGATGCAGGGAATGCGGGTGCTGAACCCGTTGCAGCTGCGCAGGGCCGTGCGCGACTACCGCTATCAGGTGGGCGAGCCGCGCATGAGCCCGGACTGCGCGCAGTACCTCGAACAGCTGCAAAAGGATTGGGAGCGGCGGCAGCAAGAGCTGCAGCAGAAGCAGGCTTCGCGACAGGAGGAAGAGGTTGAAAAGGCGCGAGCCAGGGCCAGGGCAAACGCCAAGCCACACGTGCATCATCGAAGTGGCACGGAGACGCAGCATGGCCGCACCCCTGATAGTCGCTCGCCGAGCCCCGCAACAGCCGACGAGGAGACACTGGACGCACTCTTCGCCGATTCGATGCTCCCGATGACGAGAGAAGACGAGCTTGCTTTGAAAACACAGGACCTCATCAACTCTCTGTTTGTGCCTGGCAAGAGCGTCGCTGATTATCATCCTCCGTGGGGCGCCGCCGGTGGAGCGTTCTCGGACGAGTTTGACGAGCTTGCGAGACGCACTGAACTGCTGAACAGTCGCGATATGCTTCCATTTGCGTGAGTGCTCGGGGGGG